CTATTGTGGTGGTGTGATACAGATAATGTGTGCCAACGGAATATTATTCTCACATTCAGTAGTGCATTAGCAACAGAATAATGTAAGTATTTGAACATTCTATTTCATGTCGTCTGATGTAAACCAAAACCACATGCTCAGTGATTGGTTAACGAAAATAAACTGTATAGATATAAATTGAGGTTCGATCTCACTTGAAAATAGACCTTGGCATCTGTGTTTGCCTTCCGCTGTTACACTATGAGTACTGCCGATTCACTTGCCCATGTGAAACAGGTTTCATTATATATATTGTTCAATGTGTGTTTTACCTAAAAGCGTCAAGAAACACTTCCTGCATGCCTTTAGGAAAGTCAAAATAAGCGATTACAGACAGAGTGCTATAATGATAGGCACATTCAATACAGAAAGATTCCATACTGATAGTAAATTTGTATATAGTTTTATGAAAATATGCTTGGTGTCTTGATTGCCGTTTATGCTATCAAGTCTAGATCACAATATTTGAACTGAATAACTTGGTTTCCAATAGGAAACCACCATAGTGAAATTTCATCACTCGAACTGTATAGATGGCAAACTGTCAATTTTATTTATACACACACACATTAGCTGAAGGATAAACTTCGATTGAATACTAGTCAGCAACTAGTGGAGTGTGTCTAGTTCTCCTACCTTTGGTATAGACTGAATTCTATCAATCAAGTTTTCAATGTGGCCACAATGCCACTAGATGGCTCGCCATCACGGTGTACATTGATTTGATGATGTTACATGGTTGGAGGTATTTGGCAAGAAGCCCTGTAAAGACCCAGGTTTCGTGCTAGTTGACACCCATCAGTCAACAAGGCGTACCTTCAACCTTGAAGAAACTCATGTACGTTATCACTGGCCCATTCAGGTTCGCTATCGACCTCCAGTAGGACTGCTGTACTGGATAATTTGATTGGACACTAGTAATTAATGGGATGTGTCAAGTCATTTGTTTGGTGCAGACTGAATTCTATCAGTCAGTCAGGTTTGCAATGTGGCCACCAGGTCACTAGGTGGCTGGCCGTCACGGTGCACATTGATTTGATGATATTAGATGGTTGGAGGCAATCGGCAGGAAGCCTTGACCGATACAGTTCAATCTGCACCAAAGAAAGGACTAGACACATCATACTAGTTACTAGTGTCCAGTCAAAATGCCCACTACAGTCCTACAGGAGATCAATCGCAAGCCCGAATGGCTCAGTGGTAACGTCTCTGAATGAAGTAGTGGGTGACACAAGTTCGAATCTCTTCAGAAGGGACATGAGTTCTTTCAAGGTTGCAAATACGCCCTGCTGACTGGTGAGTGCCAACTAGCACGAAACCTGGGTCTTTGCAGGGCTTTTCGCCAACTGTCTACAACTATCTAATATTAATTATCTATATTGTTATCATGAGTATATGGAGCAATTTTCAGTGTCACTTAATAACTTTTCCGTAATTTATAAAAACGACTGTAAAAATTAAAAATGAAGTCGTTGAAGTCTTGGCTGAACAGAACCTGTGTTTCTCCTTATTAACAACAAACAGAAAAATGCTTGATGAATGACTTGACAGTTCTGAACATCATGCCATATATTAGTGTGGGTCAGTGAGTGGGTACTGCTGAAATAGGATGGCACAGCAGTCTAGTCTAGTCTACTGATATCAGCCGAAATATCCATGAAAATCAAAGTACACTAAATAATTATGACGGAGAAGTCCCTTTCAAGTCAGTAAAAAGACTCCATACAACTACAAGTAGTTTAGAGGTGGAGGGAACACCAGAAGTTCAATATTACCAAGAGAGATGATTCACAAACTCATGAAGAACTCTAAAACGTCACTTCAAATTGAAGGATGCTCTGAAGATGTTGTCTAGAAGGACAGCGAAAGCTTAACAACCAAACGATCCAGCTCAAAGAAAACAACCACATTTGTAATAATTAAAAAAAATGTGATTTGAAATACACCCATAAATTAATAAACAACATATTTAAAGATATCAAATTCACCACGAGAGAAGAAGAATTAGATAACAAAATCCCATTTTTAGACGTCGTAATCAGGAGAACTAACACAGGAAATTTAGAAACATAAGTATATAGAAATTCAACGCACACAGACCAAATACTCAACTATAGTAGTAATAACCCACAAAAGAAACTGCTTGCAGACATTGTTTAAAAAAAGAGTTCAAACACACTGTAGCACTCCAGTGTTGAAGAGAATGGAAAAAAATGCCTACTAATCGTCTTCAAAAAGAATACGTATCCTCATAACTTCATCAAAAAGTGTTTCAAATCAAGTCACAACACCAACAAGAAACCATCATCAAAAACTACAAAAAACTTCATCCTACCATATGTAAAAAATATCTCTGAAAAATAACAGCTAGAATATTAAAAGCCTTTTTAAACAGATAAAGCACACAAGCCAGCGAGCCAGCCAGCCCAATCACTTCAATCGATATTGTGCTTTCACACCACCACCACCCCCCACCCTTCGAAGAGATAAGAGGCAAAAGTTGATAATAAAGGGAATGTTCAGTAACAGATAAGATAACTTTAGCCAAATGCCTGAAGGAAATGAAATGCCTATTGACAATAATTTCAGTTAGGTGAGTCAGGGGCACACCATTAACCCTACTTAAAGCCTTCAGTGTTCTGCATGATATCATATAGTCTTTTCTGAGAAGTCCAGAGGAGAATAATTGCGGGGCGGGGGGGAACAATAAAGAAGAACGGGAAGAAGACATGGATTAACAAATTGTGAGAGAAGAGGTTGAGTTACGATGCCAGAAATTCTCAACTTCTTTGTGTAATTAGTCAAACAGAAAATTTTCTTAGAAATCAACGAGATATGAGACAACCAACAGAAATTTGAAGAGATGATGCCGAGATGAGAGAGATTCGGTTTACTCCCCATCATAGTGCCGTCAATATTACAGGAATCATGCGACTGAATCAGTCACTCCACGCAAGTCTTGTTCGCATCTGAAACTAAAATCAACAAACAGCATGACATTTAGATGGATTTAGTTGAATAACATTTAGGTGAGACAATTTGTTAACTTCAGATCAGAATCTGTTCATATAAGAACAATCCAAAGTATAAACTACTAGGAAATAAACGGTTAGATCATCGAAATATTAAATAAAGTTACCTTTACAAGAATATGCAAGGTCATGAAAAAAGAAAGAAAAAAAGGCGTGCACAGAGTACAGCACTTTTAGGCAGGCACACCAGTTTCCGTTAGCAGTGAAGTGGAACGCTTTTCATTCAAAACAGTACATTGTTTTCTACCCGAAAAATAATAAGATAGCCACCTTGTGACCCAGGACTTAGTGTTTGCTAAAATCAACCTGCTTAGTAAAAGTGGCCTACGAACATGGAGTCAAAAGTGGCAGTGTAGTCTAAAAATGAAGGCTCGAAGAAACTTTGCACCTTTATCAAGATTTAAAATAATATTGTGGTGGAGTATAACAATAGTGTCCAATGATGCTTCTACTGCATGGACTATCTGCTGGAAGTTTGGTGCGTGATTCTTGCTGACAGAATTTTTATCCTATCTTTTTAGGGATATTCCAATTAATTCTCAGTACTTAATTTGTACACAAGAACTATCTGGTCTGTATAGCTTCTTAATGACATTGTTGAGGTAACTTTGGGTTTTTGATATGTTATTACTGTCAGTTAATATTCATGATTTCATCTCAGTCAATCTGGGAACTTCTGCATGTGGGAAGACTTGGAGCGGGGTGAAAAAGTTGGCAGAAAACCGAACGCATTGGAGACGTGCGGCTGAAGCCCTATGTTTCTCTAGGAATTAAAGGATATAATAATAATAATAATAATAATAATAATAATAGCTAAACAGTAGAAGGTGAAGATTGTTTCCCGGCATTCAGACCACACAGCGTCAGTTTTAGTCTCTATAGAAACTGTTCCTAATACTATTAATAATAACAGTAATAATACCTGGAATGAACTATACCAAAATTAAGGTATTAGAAGAAGAGGGGAAATCAATCGATGAGGCTGTGAAATTACATCGACTGAGAAGGTTAGGAAATGTGTTACGTATGCACACCTAGTCATCGCCTTCTTCGACCGACGGGCAATGATAGCTGGCTGACATACGGTCAGGCTGGAAAAGAGCTAGCTAGTGGTGTTCAAACCAAAAACATGGCACCAGTCAATGAAATCCACAACAGTTAGTTTAGGCCAAACACGTAGGGAGATTTATAGTGCTGACTGGTTGGGATCCTCGGGACGGTAAAAACCAATGAAGGCTGGAGACAATCGGTGATATGGTTCAAAATCGTTGTCAATGGCTGGTGCAGATGCGTCCACTCCCTGTGACTTATAAATTCCAATGAAACTATATTGTTTAGATATGATAGTTTCCAGTGAATCATCAATCAATAGACACATCGAGATAGACAAAATTTATCAACCAACAAGAAAGAAACTTCACACACAAAGGATCAAAGTTCAAGTCACAGAAACAATCAGTTCCAACAAAAGTAACCTAGAAGGTGTGAAAACACAGATAAACAACCAATCACGTCCAAGGTCACCAGGAGGAATGATTAATAAACTCGTGGAGAAACCTAAAAGCTCACTTCAAATTGAAGTATGCGCTGAAGATGTCACCCAGTAGGGCGATGAAAGCTTCGCAAACTAACCATCCAGCTCAGAGAACAAAACCACATCAAAACTAAATTGTTCTTTGTTATTACTATTCCTTTGTCTCAAACCTCTGTTTACTGTCTTTATTACGCATTTCTTGTACTTTCTTCTCTTGCTTTGTGTGCTACAAGGAGGGTGTGTAGTGACTTGAACTGCCGCACATATGTGCAAAGTTCTATGTCGATAACAGACAGACAGACAGACAGATATTAGAAGAAGAACTAGGATGGAAATATATTTTCCTATTGAGTATAATGTGTAGTAATAAGCGATAGTCATACAATTCAACCTACCTTGATAGTTATGACAGCCTTCATGTAAATCCCCGAGAAATGCTGAAGGTGACATCTTAAAACCTTCTTGTTCATCCTAGATGAGTTTTATTCATCATATGAGGAGAAAAGAAGACAAACAATATCATGTGACAAATACTACTAATTTTAACAATAGTCATATCAAGAGTATTCAACTAGGGGAGAATATTTCTAGACGAGAATTATCCTCCAAATTCATGTCTTTTAGGTGAAATGACTTCATGCCACTATCTAATTAATGTAGTTTTTTATTGTGATTTGTGCAATGTCACTGTCAAGTCATCTTCTCAAAGGGGTATTAATTCAGAAAAGACTTACAATGCTTAAACGTAGTATTGGTAATAATTTATTACTATGATTGGAGCGGATTCAATGCAGATTTCAAAGAGAACTGACAGCTCTTGGTATCTGAACAAAAGACGAGCTGGTGATGTGTCTAACCTCGCAAAGTAAAGGTCTTGCTTTAGCCTTTGGTAGAAGCATAAGCATAGTCTTTTAACGAGTCTTGGAATAAAATAAAACCGGCTTTCGAATGCTGCCTGTTTTCAATAAGCGATGATATCTACTTTGAAAGTAGACTTTCTAAAATTGTATCGTCAAGTAACTGAAGAACATAAAGATAACCTTGAAGATTTAATGCTTCATGGCCTGGTGCAGCAATCGACGACATCACCACCGAGGTAATAGAGCCTATAGCCGACCTCCTGTGGAACTAAACCGTTTACCAATGATCGGAATAATCAGTGATCACATGTATTTAGACCTTATCGGTACTTGACTTGATTTGCTTGATTTCCATCCGAGTTTTAATAGAAAATCAAACATGTAGTTCATGATTGTTTCTTAACACAGTAATTTTAATCTTACTAACCATTTCTTTTCACACTCACCCTTTCCTCTTGAAAGCTTCATCATACTCCTTATAAATTAACTCTAAATGTTAGATAATTAACTATCTTGTATTAATATCTCTTGTTTCACAACTGTGCCCTTTGAATCCAAAGAATTCTTGAGATAGGTTTTATATTTTTACATTTATACTAATTTCTCTCACTTTCTGGACAGTCAGAAGTTGGGGAAAAGTTGTGAAATTAGAAAACAATATTAACCCTTTTTATACCTTACAAACAATCTGCCTTCCCACTTTGTTCAAACTAATCATAGTAGTTGGCTGTTTGATGAAAGAATTTCAGTCGTTTGAAGTGATATTTTCTTTCTCTGACCAATTCTTTTACTCAATGTGTGGCTGTTTCAATTTCATTGGCTGATTTTATCTTATCGATTACTCTATGCTTCGCTAAACTTATTGATTTCCAAACAAAGGATATCCTTAAATATTTGAAATTTCACCTACAATATACTTTCGAATATTTTTAATCTAAATTTACTATCAGTATGGAATCTTTCTGTATTGAATGTGTCTATCATTATAGCACTCTGTAATCGCTTATTTTGACTTTCCTAAAGGCATGCAGGATAGTGCTTCTTGACGCCTTTAGGTAAAACACACGTTGAACGATATATATATGTATATATATAATGAAACCTGTTGCACATGGGCAAGTGAATTGGCAAGTACTTATAGTGTAACAGCGGAAGGCAAGACACAGATGCCAAGGTCTATTTTCAAGTGAGATCGAACCTCAATTTATATCTATACAGTTTATTTTCGTTAACCAATCACTGAGCATGTGGTTTTGGTTTACATCAGACGACATGAAATAGAATGTTCAAATACTTACATTATTCTGTTGCTAATGCACTACTGAATGTGAGAATAATATTCCGTTGGCACACATTATCTGTATCACACCACCACAATAGAAGCTGTCTAATGTGACAGTTTATCTTTCGAGTTATCGGAGAATTCAGCTGCAAGAGTTTACCAGTCTTAATTGCAGATATAAATAATATTCTTTTTTGAGAGTTTATGTTCTCATCTTTAGAGAGTCGGTCAGAATCTTAATTATTAACGCTATATCGATGCGAAAAATTTTCCTCAACATATATATGAAATGTTTCCAAAAGAAGAGAACTTCAAACTCTCTGAATAGAGCATTTTTTGCATCTACATTAAGACTGGAATTCTCCTGCAGATATGAGATATATAGGCAGAAATCCATCTTAACCGTAATTTTTAACCAAACAGTTTATATTCCGTTTCAAGTGAAGTAGAGCTTATGATATAAGAAGTGTTTCTGTGAACTCTGAATTATTTCTACATAGTTTTGCTAGTATTAAAGTCAGTCCTGTTAAGTGATTCTGACGAGTAAATCTCTCGGGAAATGAAAGTCAGAAGTCAACTGTTAGTTCCTTTCCATGTGCCTTGTGATCCTTTCTTTTGTGTTTTGATTTGTTTACTACTTAATGCTAGTGAGTAGTATAGTGTATATTCGCTACTTTTCAACCACGACTTTGTTCACCATCAGAGCTTAACTTGATGTATTTTTACTCTGTTGATGTATAGTAATTATTTTCTTATGGTTAAATATTATCTGCTCTAATTGAATTATTTATCTACCCTTTACTACTGAACACTGTTTATTGGCATCCTTTTATTCTGTGTCTAGCATACGCGCGCCGTTTAAATCTGCGCGTGGATCTCCTTTGACATAACTTTGCTGTTTTCTTATTGACACACATTGACTATGCTTTTCGTGGCATTTAGCCACCAACACCTCACAATTTCAGGTTCTTATATTATATTTCATCACGCTATATTTAATATAGTACCGTATTTAGACAAACCCTGTATATTTTAGATTTTACGCATCAGCCTACATGTGGTTTGAATAATCGTTTGGATTAGCATTCAGGATTTCTTAGAAGAAAGTCCATATGCACTGGATAGCCTTTATTAGGCTACCGGTAAATAAGTTAAAATATTGAACCGTAATATGTACCTTAGTGATACAGTGATAAAATGATCAATAAAGATACATGTGGTTCAAGTTTGCCCCTGGTCGATACGCTCCTAGTCTCCCAACCTCGATAGTATACGCAGGTAGAGACGGACGCTTGAGCATGAGGCTAGCAACTCTACTTCGTAAAAACAAAACGCTACAACTGTTGAACCTTCAGAGCTCAAGTTTAAAGTCGAATGCTCCACATAAAATACAAACGAATGAAAACCGATAACCTTAAAACCATTACATCACATCTTTTTTATTGAAGTCGTAGAAAAAAACATGGATACACTAGTCCTACTGGGAAATCTTACCTCTCCTTTCTTCTTCTTCTTTTGTTTGTCATCTTTTTTAGGTGAAGGCTTTTTAGCCTTGCCTTTGTCTTTACCTTTACCCTTTTGACTTGCCTCTTCCTGTTAGAAAAAGGAAATACAAAACCACGGAGATTATTTTCAACAGTTAACAACAGGTTTTTTTGCACTGAGAAACAGCTAATAATTGTAGAGAACAATGTGAATCTGATGAATTTCATCGGTTCTCTTCAGCTGTGTAAGACTTGTAACATTTAATCAAAACAGTTACAATACAGTTTTTATTAACATAGGTTTGTGTATCAACGAAAATCAGTCCCTCAGCCAGAAGTGGTAACATTAAAAAAACGTCTGATTAGTTATTTAGTCAATTTGCTGAAGCTATCATGATAAGATGGCTCAAAATCGTGATCTGCTTTTAATTATCGTGATTTTTCCTTCCTTAGTAATTAACTCTCTGTGTTTTTTCTGACTATATCACTTCTCAGTTTCCTTATTCATTTCATCTGGCTTACATATTAGAGTTCTTCAGTGAATGAAATATTCTCATAGTAATAGTCCTGACGAGGAAAGAGGAAAATCAGAAGACCACCACGTTCACGATGATACTTGTATTTTTCAGACAAAGAAAATAATGTGACTATCACACAAGTGTGTGAGTGAAAGGGTACGCAGTGTACGAAATGTGTGAACAAGTGTGTACAAGAGTCCAAAAGTGTACAATGCAAAAGTATATATGAAAATAACTAATATACATGAACCGAACAGACGGACAGTCTTAACATGGGTAGTTGTAATGTCATGTGATAAAAAGGTCATACATTCTTTATTTAGTTAATGGACAGACAAAAGCATACTGTCAGTTATAATGGAATATAGATCCATATACACATAGCAAAATATAACAGACTGTCAAAAACAAAACACACATCATGTGACTACATATCACAAAGAATTCATATGACCAATCACATACCTCTAAAATTTCTCTCGAAAACGCATTACGTGATGTAAGATGAAATCTAGAAGAGGTGATTAATTGGAAATTAAGAAAGTCGGCAGAAGCTGGGGTGACGTAGTGAGTGTAGGAAAAATGACTAATCGATATAAATGTACAGATTAGACAAGGACTGGTGGAAGGCGCTTTTATAAAATCTGTATCTTCGAACACCTTGTCAACTCTGGACAACGAGCACTCACGCATGAATGCTTCACAGTGCTACATAGAGTCCCTCAATACCGTACGAAAGGACATCGAATACGCCATCTGTACATAGCTAAATCATTGGTTATTCAGGATCTGAAACCTCACCTCTGCATTCGAAAGCAGCATATACGTTCACTTGCCCTACCGTGGACAGAGTATCGTTCTCACTGTAATTTCGCTTCCTTTTATTATGTAAGTTTACTATTATTATTATTCTCATCCTTATTTTATTATAACCATACAACTATTTATTGATAACATTGCGTTTTTACGCGGATTTTATAAAAACACTTTGTCGTCTTTCCAGTGGTTCTTGTCCACTCTATACAATCTTACTGATTGTATTGTCATTTTTCTCACACTTATTACGTCATCCCAGCTTCTGCCCACTTTCCTAATTTCTAATTAATCACCTCTTCTAGATTACATCTTACATCACGTAATGCATTTTCGAGGACAAATTTTAGAGGTATGTGATTGGTATATGAATTCTTTGTGAAATCTAATTCCGATTGTACAGCAGCTTATGAAAATGAATCGTTGGAAAGGGGAAATTTTCTTCACTGTTTAGATCTTTTTCTTATTTCATATCAGACTTAATTTTTCATTTTTTAAATTCTGCTCACCCCATTACATCATAATATTTTCATTAAGCTTCATACATACCAAAGTTTGATTATTTTTTAGCTTCTGGGTTCTACCGCTGTCCATAGTTTCAAACGTCAAAGCGTTATCCGCTAGACTACTTGGGCCACGAGAGCCATGTCTTGTGCAACGGGTCATGTGGATAACCCTTTGGCGTTTGAAACTATGGGTACTGGGTTCTAGCCTCGGTGGGAACATCACCACTCACTGGGGAATGCAGGCACATCCAGTGACGAGTCCCAAATAGACGAAATTCGCATCCTAGATTCCACTGCTAGCCACCATCCACCAATTATATTCTAGTTAAATTCTCAGACCTCGTCGAAGCATCTGCACAAGAAGCCGATATGTCAACCTGAGACCAAACACTTCTGTCCAATCAATCGACGGGAAAATCTAAAATTCCTTTAGGGAAATGCTGCTCTTATACGACATATATATATATATATATATGCATCAGTCACTGAAGTCCTAACAGTTAATTTGAACCACATAGTGAGGTAGAAGCATTCTGATTGGGTAACTCAGGATTCTGGAAGCTAATGTCTGCAGACCGTCAGTGGTGTGGATCAAAACCATCCTCAATGGCACAGATGAATTCATTCTTTTTTTCCATGCTACGGTTGTTTAATCCGCACATTTCTGTTTATTATATTTCTTATGCATCTCTTTTCCTGTCTTTTCTCTATCTCTAAATGCTACATAGAGAGTGGTAACTCGGAATGATGCACATCTGTGCAAAGTTCTATATTGAAACCCAGTAATATATGTAGTAATGCTTGTCATTAATCTAAAGTTAAAGAGTAATTTCTTTTGATAAATAAAAGTATGTCAATAAAATTCCATTATAACCTGTTTTAATTGATGTGACATATAGTAAGTAACTGAAGAGAATTTCAGAAATACGATGGATCCATGTGATTTGTTCTTTCTCTGGCAAATTTATGAAGAGGAACTCGTATGCTGTATAGTTTTCGTATAAGCAAATTTGCTACTTATATTTACATTTTAGTAGTATACTTATCATTATTACAAAATTTGAATAGTATGATGCATTATGACCTAAAGTAAACTAAAAATCAAATTCAAATCCTACTGCAATTTTGTTTTCACATTTCGCGTTCAGTCGTCCTACCTTGCATCAGAAATTGTCTTCACATGTTGGATTGTGGGATCTGGTTAATTTTAATCTAGATTAGGTACCGATTCACTTAAAAATCTTCTGGGACCCAGTGGGTGCTCCACGGGTGTTTCGTCCCAGCTTGGGACTCTTCGCATCATGTATCCACCAACCCACCTTCGGGAATCGAACCCAGAACTTGAAGCCCACAAGGCTAGCTCATATGCCCCTGAGCCTCTGAGACAGAATCCAATGACGAGGCAACTCTAACTTCTGCGTAATCGCAATATATAACCCAGCTGCCAATCAGTATTTCTCCTCACAGCCAAGTTGGTGGAATGCAATAGTCACTAGAAATTCAGACTATTCCACCCTGTAGTCAGTTACTAGTCAGAGCTAGACCGATATCCAATAATTGTCTGCCATAAATATGAATAATCCTAAATCCAGGGAAAGAGGAACTTAGACCAGTTTAAACCAGTGTGGACAAATTAGCCCATCGGACCGGAGCAGAATATTTATCACAGTGTGATTGGATAATCTTGAAGTCTGAAATTATGCAATCAGTTATATTAGTTATTTGCTGGATTAAATTTCCGAGGTATATAATACTTGTATACAATGTACTTTTGCATGATAAAAGTCTCTTTGTTCCCACCGGATTGGACCAGCCTGTTTTTTCTGTCTTTATTTACGTGAACTCTGAGGGTCAGAAGTGACTCGAAATCAGTATGGAGTATTCGATCTTCGGGTGAGTCTCTTAATACCTTCCCGTGTCGAACCCTAGTCACAAGACTATTATTGGCACCTATCATATCAACCCATATCGAAATTTGTGGATCAGTCATTTCACTCAGGTAGTGTTATGAATATCAATAAAATAATTCTATACTAACCTTCTCTTTTAACTCTCTTTCCAGTTCCTCTGGTGTCTTTTCTTTGAATATGGCAGCAGAACCGCCTTCACCTTCTTCTGGATAGTCAGGAAATCGACCAGTTGCATCTCTGATAGATAAATAAATAAACAAATGAACGAGAAAACACCTGACAAAATTTAAATGAGATAAATAAAATTTATATTCTGTTTTGTTTATATCCAATGAAAACTTTGTGAACGGCATGAAACCTCATTAACTGACTTCTCTCCTCCTTTGCCTAGCATTCTACGCCTAGACTGAATTTTATTATTATTATTATTATTATTATATTATTTTTCCCTTGGGTTCTGAGTGGAACATAGGACTTCAACAACAATTCTCCCCTTTGTTCTATTTTTTGATGTCCTCTATAGCTTGGCCTGCGATTGCTCATATTCTTTCATCTCCTCCTGCATGTCACCCTAGGTCCCACACTTAACCGTCACATCCCGTTCACATTCCACTGGAGTGACTGTCTGGCCCACGATATCATTCGACGGTCGCTTCAGTGTGTTCCTTGTTCACATCCATTTTCTGTTGAACGACAGATACTTAGTTAGTTTGTTCCCATAGTTTCTTGTTTGCAAATTCTTTCTGGCTAGCAAGCCATCTGATATTCAATATGTATATGATACGTATCCACATATATATTTATGTGTGTGTGTATGTATGTTGGTCTCTCTTTCTGTTTGCTCGCTTAGTCTGTGACCATTTCACTTGTGTGAACTTGTCTCCTTTATTAATGTGTATTCTCCTTATATTATATATAATATGAGTGTTTGTTGACAGTCCGTAGCTTAGTGACATATATCCATATTATATGTTTGGTTGTTGACATGTCTGCTATATTCGCTATGTATATTTGGATCGACACTCCATTATAATTAGCCATTCATGTTAAGACTGTCTAATGATTTGTTCCCACGCTTTGTCTGGAACATTCATATATATTTCGCATACACAATCTTGTGACTTTACAACTACTTTACTTACTTACCACTTTGGTGTGAGACCATTTATTTTCGTCTCCTTGTGTTTGGACAATAGAAGTATCATCGCAAACCTAGTGGTCTTCTGATTTCCGCCTTCTCGCGTCAGGACTATTAATTTCTCGACCAGACCATAACAACAATTTAGCGACGAGTACATAACAATTTGGCGACGGGGAAAACTAGTACATAACAGTATACAGCCAGCGAAAGTAGCTGTTGATGAAAGTCTGCTGTGGTCTGTTGGAAACTCTTTCCTGACGCACTGGCCAAGTTTCTGACGTATGTAGAAGAACTGACTGACTCTGAATCTTGTTCCTCATATTCAGTGCAGAAGATTTCCAAACTGATTTCAGTTTGATGAAGGTATATCTTACCTTTCTGATTCTGGACGGCTCTGACATCTTCATTCATGCTATCCGACTGCCAATGGCTGAAACCCTACTTCCTAGACAAGTGAAGTAAATGAAGTCTTCCAAGTTTCTCCTGCTAATAGTAATTGGTGCTGGTTGTTTTCGTTGCCATTATTTGATTATCTTCATCAGCTCCATGTTCTCTCAGTTCATCTGGAGCCCTGTCTTTGCTGACTGCTTCTTCAGACATTTTATTGCCTTTCGCCTGTAAGTCTACGAGTTTTTGTAACTTTATACACAAATTATCCACAGGGGGAATTCAGATCTTCTACAGTCTTCTTATCGGTCCAGCGTATTCCTGTCTTCTCACTTCCTATGCACAGTCTGACGCACAAACCAGTTCACCACCTCATCACCATAAAATACCACTTAATTCGGCATTTATATTGCGGAAACTTATGGTCAAAGATAGCTAGCCTCTTTATATCTTCAACTTTCAGTGATCATGTCAATATCTGCTCTATTTTAATTCATTTCAACTGCCTACTTACGCCTTTAAATAGAATATTACATCACCACATGAGTTTAAAAATAGTTTTCAATATCCAGTTGTGCGGCAGACGACAGTGCTACCTAAAGCCGGCAAAACTAAACCACTGGGACATTAGTGAAAATATTCCAGCTTGATTCGAAGGGAAAACTGTACAGTTGAATATAAAAAACCTCAACTCATAACTTATGACAAGAAAAATATATTGGAAAAGATCATATCAATACATTTTGTCCTATAAAACCCTTTAGTGAGATGTGTTCCCCTTTTTTAAAATCAAAAATACACTTGACAGTTTTGTTTAACTACCGTGTCCATCAGTTTGCAAACCTTTCTATGAATATATTGCAGCATAAGTTATTTTAAGGTAACGTTATACTTGATTGCTTTCTATTTCCTTCTAATCAGGGGAAATAGGATGCGTAAGTTACTACTGAAGACGATAAGAAAACAAAGTGCCTTTGTCTCCCTGATTCAGGTTGAGTAATGTAATCGTAAAATTGCCAATTAATCCATATTTGTAGTAAGCATGAAGGATATACTAAGAGGCGGTTGGATATTAACCATAAGAACATCTGACTAACAGATCCCAAGAAAGAATGAACACAAATGTTGAATTCTACTGCTGGTCATCCCTAAACAGGTAATTTTGTCTCAAGGATGGTCATGAACTGACTTTATTCAGAGATACACAGAAAACCAGTTCAAAATACTGGACAGGTGTTTCATCCTAGTTTGAGACTCGGCAGCAGTACACACCGATGATCCCAACCACCAGGGATCTAACCCATGACCCTCATGTTACAAGGTGGGCTCTTTGACCTTTAAGCCTTCTAACTTGACCCCAGGCGGACTGATGAATCCGTACTATTGAACTGTGACAAACTAGGGCGAAACATTCATCCAATACTCCATGATGATTTCCAGTGGTTTTCTAACTGAAATGACCTTTTTTATTAATCTTCAGATCAACTAAATTCGTGCATAAAGACTCTTGAAAATGACATTCTTTCATTTGTCAGAAATTCTTCACATACTTATTAAATTCACTGTTTTCTAAACCAGAAGTACATAACATTCAACTGTAAAAGGATTCGATCTAATGAAAGAGTCGAATCCCTCCACACACTAATTAATGCAATAAAACCCAATGCTAAAGTTCATGAAGAGAAATTAGATATATGCAAAACACCCAGTTTTAACTGAGACCATAGCATATTTACTGGCTTTTAATGCTGGCTCTTAGCTTGAAGTTTTTAAGTCAGCTGTCACATTGTAAATTCAGTGCCTTCGGGTGCGACAAACAACCCTTCTGATGTCTCTGATTGTAGCGATTCGTTCAAAGTTGCAGATACAACTTACTGACAAGTGTCGATAAACACGAGACCTAGTTTCATTGAAACCCAACCACCTATCGTCAACCAAGGGGCCACAACACACCACGATAGCTAGTCACCTAGCTTGGAGGTCACATTGCAAACTTGATTGGTGAAATAGAGTCAACACTGAAATGAACTACTAGACAAATAGAGTGTAGTTATTCCCTACTGACCAATCAGTACATCAATTCTGAGATCTACTATTAGACTCAATATTTTGCACCCACTGAGGTGCGAACCCAGGACCTCCCGGTCACAAGGCAAGCTCATATACCATTCAGCCACTGGGCTCGAACCCATTGGGTGAGTACCGCCAAAAGATTCCCAAACTAGGATGAAACTAATGTCCAGTACTCCTGGCTGGTTTTCAATGGTTCTCTAAGTGATATCAATCCCTAGTGAAACTCGTATAAACAAGTCTAATCCTTACAAACCAAACTCGTGAATATACTTCGCGATTATCTCATATAATTCTTTGTGTGTCTTAGTCTTATTGAGTATCTAAAGAGAATCATTCCACATTCATCGATGATTTGCTCAACCTCAGCAATCTGTAAACAACTGTCGTGTATTTAGAACCCCTTTAGTTTGTCTAGTGAAAATTATCAATAATCGTTTTATCATCCATCAGGAGAATAAAAGCCTTCCAAATCAATCATGTAGCTCAAAAAAGACAACTACACCAAAAGCGTCCACCAGAAACTGATAAAACTGATTTAGTGCAAAACAAGTCTGTTGCATGTAGAGAGTTATGTACAACTACAGACTGCCACAGCGTAAGTCCCGATGTACGATTTTAGGGCTGACTGTGTCCAATGCTCCTTTCCTCAAGAGCTGCAAAGCAGCGTATCTGGTTTACTTGTCAACGACTTGGGAACGACCCCACTACTGCAATACCCATATTTGCCAGGAGTACAAATCCCTCTTGAGATTACCCAAGATCGTGTAAACGCCTCTCACGACGATTATAATTGCTTTTAGTCTAACCATTACCTATGCAACTTTTCTGTTACGATAGGAACTGTGCAAGGAGTCAGTTATCTCCAGGGATTGTAGTATGTACAGCTACACAATAAATGTCAATTGAAGGAAAAACTAAACTGACCTGCATTCAATAAACCATTGACGCATTTGATCTCGCATTGTTTCACGCATATCAGGACCTTCTGTATCACGAATTTTCTCTTTCACTTTCACTAATGCTTGTTGATATTCTTGTTCATAAATATTTTGTGTTACTCTACGCACAGCATCGACCCGATCAGCCAGTTTAGTGATACTAGATTTTTGTGCAATATGATGTAGGTTTGATGGTACCTAAAAACAGTAGAAGAAAAAGAAATGACATCATTTATAAAGTGGTGTTGTGTGTTACTGACAAGAGTTTTTCAGTAGTATATTGAATGAAATCCGAAAAAATCTCGAATGGAGGAGTAAAGGAGGTTGATAATTTGAGTTATCTACGTGATTGAGAAAAAACAAACAGAATGTTACCTAAGTTTAACAATGAAGCACTAGAATATGAGTGAAGAAGTTGCTTTTTGATAACACTTCCGCCACTCACTTCCAAATATCCAAATCATTAACAATACATATTTTAATTAAATGTTAATGAATCCCATAATCTACAACCAACACCACCACCACCACCCCCACAAACTTCATTCCCCCCTACATGATCTCTTTCATGTCCCTCTTGATTGCTCAACCCATTACTTCCCATTTGCCTTCCACTCGAGTTCCTGACATGTGGTTTCACTAAGCGGTCACCCCAGTGAGTGTCCAGTTCACCTCTATTTTATCCTGTATACTGATTGTTTAAACAGCATGTTGTTGGCTGATTCTATGACTGCCAAATTTCCTTGTTATTTATCCTTTCTGGCTAGCTGACCATCAGATCTTCGGCACTGAGCGATGTGGACAGGAGTTCATGAAAGTGCACAGCAGTCTGCTGAAAATGCTTTCGGATTACCTCCCCCCCCCAGTTCCAGTGACTGAACAGTCAACAAGGTCATATCGTAATCTGAAGGTCCTTTTCAGATTTCCGATGCGATGATGGGTAGCTTCTGATGAAGAGTTCACAACTGGGATAAAAATAGTATTCCATAGTTGGTTCTGACCTCAGCTGTGCTAACTCCCTGAAAAAGAGGCGAGACTGAAGGTGAGGTTAACAACCCCATCCTTGCAAAAACGACTCAACCAATATCAAAACTCTAGAGCACAGAAAAAAAGCACAAAAGAAAGCGAACGTATCCTATAAATGTATTCACTATCAAATGAATTTTGTCCTTGTGTAGTACCTGAGCGCATTGAAATTTAAAACTAAAAGGCTGACGGTTAGTAGAAAAGCTTCAATGTTTACACATAAACGATCAGCGTACAAGCATAAATGCATGATGTTATGTACTACTGCCTGACTAACATGAGCAGTTGAATACCACTCATCGAGTGACTGCTATATAAATGACCAAATACTTTGTGATATGTATCCACATAATGTGTGTTTTGTTTTTGACAGTCTATTATATTTTGCTATGTGCAAATGGATAGATATTTCATTATAACTGACAATATGCTTTTGTCTGTCCATTAACTAAATAAACAATGTATGACCTTGTTATCACATGACATTACAGCCAATCATGGCAAGACGTTATCTTATTGGTTCATGTGTATTAGCCATTTTCATATATACTTTTGTATTAGACACTTGTACATTATTCTGGTTCACACACATTTCGTACACTCGTACCATTTCACTCACACACTAGTGTGACATTTATTTTCCTTGTCTGGAAAATACAAGTATCATCGTAAACCTAGTGGTCTTCTGATTTCCCTCCTTCCGCATCAGGACTATTAATTACTCGAAGAGTACATAACACTTTATGATCTCAATAATTTCGGTTTCCAAACGAAATAGTGGTGAAATTTCAATTCGAATAGTGCACAATTTGCATTTTGCGAATTTGGCCCGGCTGGAATAAAGGATTTAAGCTGTGGATGTGTAGAATAATCCTCTGAGAACTAGGAATCAATCTACATTTGACGATACAATGTCCCAATTAAGGCAGAGCTTTTTGACATGTAGATTTTCAAACGTTTGGTAGTCTGTCTCGTCATCCGCCAAAATAGTAGATTCCTTCTTCAATAATATTTTCATAACCATGGGCTTTATGGATCATTATTGATTTAAAACTATGTGTCCTGGTTTGGAATCTCACTAAGGATTCAGACACGTCAAAGTGATAAGTTTTAAATACACTTTCTTGATTCTAATTTTAGCCACGATCAACTGAATCGCTTTATAAAGCTTTATTTGCACTATTATTATTCCTTTAGGATTTCAGTGGAATATGAGGCTTCAACGAAATACCTCCGGCACACTTTGCTTCCTGCACTCTTTTATGCATGGCTACACGATTATCTATAAGCTTTCACAAGATCTCCTCCAACTCATCCTTGGATGCCCAACTCGTCGTTTCTCATCCGGGTTCTCTTCAATGGCCCAGCGTGTGGTGTCACTCAGCGGTATCCTCAGTGTGTGTATGTATGCATATCAAATCCATCTCGATTTCCCCCTGCTGCAAATTCGTTGAATAATATATTCTTGGATAGTTCGTTTCCAGACTTTAATTGTCGCTAATCCTTCCTGTTCGGCTGGTCATTTGGTATTCAGTATCAAAAAATTCAGCTGTTGGTGAAATTCTTCAGGTAATTGGAAATGCTTATCGTGATGCCCGTGAAGCGCTGACTCATTTGACTATAGAGTCAGAAATTCGGATCTTTTTCCTTGTACCAATAGCAGCAAATTGTCTTACTGATTTCAAATTAATCAAGGTCTATCTTACTTCTCCGATCTTGACTGATTTTAACGTGCTAATCTGTACTGCCTGTATTTGACAGGAAGCTGTCTAGATAAGTGGGAGAATTAACCTTTTTTCCAGGTTTATCCACATGTTTGTGACTGGTGCTTGTCGTTGTTCTTGGTTGGTTGGTTGGTTACTTTGATTACCTTTGTCTTCTCAGTGATGTCTTGTCTTTACTTAATCTTCTGTCAACTTGTTGATTCTCGCCTTTAGATAATCGAGTTTGTGTAACAATAGACATAAGTCCTCCACAAAGTCCTGGCCTTCTAGAATCAAATTTTTCCCCTAGAGAACTTTGAAAAATAACTTCAAACTGCCTTTAACATACTACATTCATTGATAGATTCATGTTTACTCCGGTGTTACGATTGATAAGTGTTCTTGTCTAACGATAGCCTTCTTCTGTTCAAATAATTATTAGTATATTCAAAGGTCTCAATTTATCCAAACTAGAATCGGACTCTTCTTATACACATCTATGTTTGAAATGAGCTATCTCTTCACATAGTTTTGAACACACCATACTCTGTGTTTTATCAATATATGTAGGCAGTGGAAATATAATTTTGTATAGTTTTTTGTTCAAAGTCAAAAAAATAACTTCTTGTTTAAAACAAACCTTGGTTTATTTCATTTGTACAATTTTCCGCGAATACAATTTTTTTTCCTGTAGATGAGCTCACACATTATATCCTCTTTCCCCGTGACTACCTAATTGCCATTGTAATAATTAATTGGTCATACTGTGGTGAGAGAGCAGGCTAGCCAAAAATGGTAGACAGTATTTTACGTCAATGGGTATGTCGCAAATATTGGTGGTGAGAAAATATGAACAAGACTGATTCAACAACCACCAATCACAACAGACTTGGCGTAAGCAGATACAGTTAACATATATAGGTGACCTGACATTCAAGAAACAGTCACAAAGAGATGCAAGGTTAACTTTCTGTGAGAAACAACCAATCAGAAGAGTGTGTTTATTTGCTTGAATAAGCTATAGTAATGTACATGAAAATATATATATAAATAGGTGTTGGTTTCTTAAATAAACGATCTGTTGCTTGGCCCTTGTCTTCTGTTGTTACAATACCATTTGGAAACGTACAGGAAATCCAAATCATCGTCCCGGCGGAGAATCATCGACCAGATTTGCTAACATATTGTTAATAAGAATCATTGATAATATACGACTCGTGGAGTGTGGATTATATAACTAAATGTGTACTCAGTGGGTCAAACCTTACCCTTAAGTAAATGTCCACTCTGGTTGAGGTTCAAGTGTGAGGCTACCAACCCCACCCTGTAGAAACAACACCATCACAATGGAAACTTTAAAGCTCCGGTATGAAGTCCTACGTTCCACCCGAAGCGCAAAAGAATGAATACCATTTTATATTGAATTTATTGAAAAATTAAGTAATGTAACTATTACAGTATTATAACGTACAATACTTACCATACCAAGCCAAACCAACTCTTCATTACGCATTGCATGAACCTTTTTACGACAACAAAATCCTCTCCAAATCTAATTTCAAAATGTATACAAAATAGGAAAAGAAAAAGCCATTGACTGTTGGACTGAAAATTACTTGTTACATAATTAGCTGAATTCAGTTAAAGAACTACTGAAAACAAAGAGCTACTGAACAGCTGTGTCATTCTAGTCTAGCATTCATCAGTATTACGCACTCATAACCCCATGAAGGATCGGATCTAGAACCTTTAGGCTACAAGGCGAACTCAATGATCATTCAGTCCCCAGGGCGTAATCCAATGGTATACTAACATCTGAGAATTAATTCTGGGACTCACGAGTGATTGGCCATAGGATGAAATCCTTTCTGATGAGAAATTATAATCATTGGGATCCACCAAGTCGGGTATGAGGAATACAGATACCCGCCGATGATACTGGCTGATAGTTGCGTTGTCTACCGTAAATTGGCAGAAGTTAGAATTCATTGGCCATTTAATTCAGTCTCCAGCTCACCTTTTAACCTGAAGGTCCTGAGTACAATACCTGGTGAGGTCACGAGTGAGTGACATTGAAGAGTACCAGACGAGGACGAAATAGCTGTCCAGTACTCCCTGGGATTTCATGGTTCAAACTGTACATCAGTCGAATCCATGCAAACTAATACGAGAGTATTACATGATTGAGAGGATGTTTAAGGTATAAATTCTGGGAGAGTTGCATCGCAATCTATGACACGCATACATATTCTTTTTCTGTGTGTTTTGGGTCGAATTATTTGAAGCTATTTGATTACTTCAGATAATGAATTGATCTAATGATATGAATTATTATTAAAATAACAAATCTGCACAAAATAAAAGAGTTGAAAGTACAAAAAAAAAGGAGATATCAGTCGATTAGGTGCATCTTCCCGATCCTCGTGCAAATCAGACTTCATTATTTCCATATCTGTTCTCCCTCTCTATTTATCACTGAAAGCATTGAATCAATAAAGTTTATCTAAAATAAGCAAATCCATTATTTTCAAGTAGTGGTTTTGTAGGGATTTCGTGTTTGATTGCATGGAGGATTTCATCATGAGCTGACATCAGTTAGAGAAACACTTGAAAACCTCGGAGTACTGTACAGCTGTTTCGTCCTAGTCCGGGACTCTTCAGTGGCTCGATGGTCTACGAGGTTGCCTTGTAACCAGAAGTTACTGGGTTCGAACCCCGGTGGGTGCGTACTGCTAAAGAGTCCCAAACTAGGACGAAACAGCTGTCCAGTAGTCCCTGGTTTTCCAGTGGTTCTCTAACTGATGTCAGCTCATGATTAAATCCTCCATGCAATCAAACAAAATCCCTACAACAAACCAATAGTTGAAAATTAATCTGATGCTCACTAGCGACTGACCCTATTCAGGCAGTTAACCTGGTGTTCCAGTGGCAAGCCGTGACCAGTAGGGTACAGCAGGTTAAGATGAAATCCTCCATGCGAATCCATTATTGTTGAATTTATATAAGATAGCGTAAATTGGGTACCTGCTCCAATTCTATCCAGCTGATTTATATCAGTGAATTTTGAGTATAAATTCACTAAACTCACTGAACTATGATCAAACACTTTGATTGGCTGATATCATTCCCATTAGATGTTGATTTACAAAATTCAATGCCCGACCTCCATTGTAGGATTTGTTATTCAGCTATTGACTGTATTATTGGAAAACAACACTAGAATTCTGCCATATTTGTGATTCTGAAAGTAGAATCTCCACAGAAGCAGTGACAAATAATTTAGAGACCTTAACCGACATGCTGATGGTTTACATGGAAGGAAAGGAACCCACTGGGGTTACCTTGTCAAACTCCTAAATAAAAAGAACTTAAGCCTATACAAGAATTAGTACCCCAAGTAAAACATTAAGTTAAATCATCCTGAAAAAACTTAAAGACATCATACATGAAAGACTTTGCCTGGACAAGCTGGATTCAGGAAAAACAAGTCATGTGCAGATTATATTTCCACTTTATGTACTGTCTTACACTAGAATGATTGTCAGTGCTTTACCTCAATTTCATCGACTCTGGAAAAGCCTTCGACGACAGCATCAAGCGTGAAATAATTTGGAAATTGCTTCAACACTACGAAATACTGGAAATATTTATAAACCTCACCCAATAACTATATGATAATGCCATATACGAAGTAATTAACTACGGGAAAACTCAGTGAAGTCTTTGCAATGAAGACAGGCACAAGACAACACTACTGGCTGTCGCTGATGACACTTCTGGTTGTGGTGGACTAGGTCATACAACAGATCGTGAGGAATGAGGAGATAGGCATTTATCAGGCAGAAAAAAGACTCTAGACGGCCTGAACTTCACAGATACCTTGGTTATCATGTCACAAAAAAATCAATAACATACAATTGAAAAGAAATAAGCTGGCTGAGATTGCATAGAAGACAGGATATCAAGAGAACATTAAGAGGACAGTGGTTATGATGAAATACAACCACCGACAAGCACGTGTTACCATCTATTGCAGAAATCTAAAGGAAATGGTTGTGTTTTTTTCACATATCAGGTTACCATGACTTTCATTCAAACTGATATAAATGTGCACACAGTATTAACAGCACATAACAAAACAGACTAGTAATAATAAATATTGGTCATATTCCATGTCATTTTGTTTATTTCCTTCTTAGAACAAGACATATTATTATTATTGTATCCTTTAGTTCCTAGAGGAACATAGGGCTTCAGCTGCGCACCTCCATTGCCTTCGGTTTTCTGACAACTTTTTCACCCCGCTCCAAGTCTGTCCACATGCTTTCATCTCCTCCTCGCATGACCTCCTCCAAGTCACCCTCTCACTGACGACCAACTCGCCGCCTCCCTTTCGGGTTCCACTCGAGCAATGCTTGTCTAGTGATGTCACTTGATGGTTTCCTCAGCGTATGGCCAATCCATCTCCATTTCTTCCTGCCTATTTGTTTCACAATCGGTTCCTGATTGGTTCGCTCCCAGAGATCCCTGTTGCTGATCTTTTCTGGCCATCTGATCTTGAGTATTGAGCGAAGACAACTGTTAATGAAGGTCTGAAGTTTGTTTGAGATGCTCTTTATGACTCGCCAAGTCTCTGATCCGTATAGTAGCACTGACTTCACATTGGAGTTGAAAATCCGGATCTTATTTTTGATGCTGAGTGCTGTTGACCTCCACACAGATTTGAGAGTAATGAAAGCTTGTCTTGCTTTTCCGATTCTGGCTTTGATATCCTCGTCAGTTCCGCCTGTAGTTGAGACGATGCTTCCCAGGTAGGTGAAGGAGGTTGTTTCTTTCAGGTTCCTCCCATTTATGCTGGCTGATTGTTGTCTGTTGTTGTTGCTGTTGATGTTGGCCAGGAATCTTCATCACCTCTGTTTTATCTATGTTCACTTGAAGTCCTATCTTTGATGCTTCTTCTGCCAACTTGTTACTTTTCACTTGCATATCTTCCAGTTTGTGGGAAATCAGACATATATCATCGGCGAAATCCAGATCCTCCAAGTCTTTTGTGTCAGTCCATTTTATGCCTGTTCCCTCGTTGGTTGCCGTTGTCTGTCGCATTATCCAATCAATTGCAATCAGGAAGATCATTGGTGATAGTAGACAGCCTTGCCTCACTCCCGTCCTCACTTCGAAGGCTTCCGTAAGTTTCCCGTTGTGGATTACTTGGCATGCAGCATTGTCGTATAACTGTTGGATGAGATGTATAATTGTCGATGGGACCCCGTAGTAGCGAAGTAGTTTCCAAATGACCTCTCGATCGACGCTGTCGAAGGCCTTTTCAAAGTCGATGAAGTTGAGATAGAGAGGTGACTGCCATTCCAAGCTTTGTTCAATGATGATCCGTAGAGTGGCGATTTGATCAATACATGATTTGTTTCTCCTGAATCCGGCCTGTTCCGGACGAAGTTTTTCATCTAGGGCTTGTTTGATTCTCTCCAGGATGATGCGACTTAGTATCTTGCTTGGAATGGACAGAAGCATAATTCCACGCCAGTTTTTACATTGACTTAAGTCTCCTTTCTTTGGAAGTTTGAATAAGTATCCTTTCTTCCAATCCTCGGGTACTTTGCCCTCTTTCCACACCTTCTCCAGCAGTGGTGTCATCAAGTCCGCTGTTGTCTCTGGGTCTATTTTCAAAGCTTCTGCTGGGATTCCATCTGGTCCCGGTGTTTTCCCAGTTTTAAGCATCTTGATTGCATTCAGGACTTCTGATTTCGTCGGGGGGTCAGTGTTCACTGGTAGTTCTGCTTCCGTTGTTGGTATTGTTGGACGTGTTGTAGGTGGCGGACGATTTAGAAGTCTTTTGAAGTGTTCAACCCAGTGCTTTCTCTGTTCCACCTCTTTGGTGATTGACTTTCCATTGTCGTCCTTTATTGGCTTAATCTGTGTCGAACGTTTGCCCGAAAGGTTCCTAGTTGTTTGGTAGAGTGTGGCGAGGTCTCCTTTGCCTGCAGCTTGTTCTGCTTCGTTTGCCATGGTTTCATAATATTTTCTTTTGTCTTCCCTGGCACTCTTCTTCACTCTTTTGTTCAGTGTATTGTAGCTTGCATTCAGCTCCTGTTTTTGTTGCTCGTCAGTGCACTGGATAATCTTTTGTTTCACTGTCCTTCTCTCTTCTATTAGTTTCCAAGTGTCCGTAGTGAGCCACTGTTTGTCCTGTCTCTTTTTTCTGCCTAGAATTTCTATGCAGGTTTGGCTCCACACCGTTTTCAAGTTGTTCCAGTGCTTTTCGACGCTGACCTTTTCGCTGGTGTTGATTTGTGTCTCGGCTTTGTCCTTTATGCTTGCAATGAAGATGTCCTTTGTAGCCTGGTCCTTCAGCTTTTGAGTGTTGAACTTGGCTTGTGGTCTATCTGCAGCTCCTGATTCCCTGAAAGCTTTTAATTTGATTTGGATTGTCCCTTGTACGAGATAGTGGTCTGAGCCAACGTCTGCTCCTCTTCTTGCTTTTGTGTCCAGTAGGCTGCGCCTCCACTTCCTTGAGATTGAGATGAAGTCGATTTGGTTTTTGGTTTGCCCGTCTGGTGACACCCATGTAGCCTTGTGGATATCTTTGTGCTTGTATACACTGCCACCAATCACTAGTTCGTTGAAGGCGCAGAAGTCGGCGAAGAGTTCTCCGTTTTCATTCATTTCTCCGAGAGCTTCTCTACCCATGATGAGTTCCCTTCCTGTGTTGTCTGGTCCCAGTTTAGCGTTCAAGACATATAAGCGAACAATATTGTTTACACTTAGATCTTCAGTCAGGCTTTATTCTAATTTACATAGATTTATATATAAAATTTTTAACCAATGACGGTGATTTTGTGGATCAAATAATAATAATGTGGTAAATGTTTTGAGCGAAATTAATAACGATGATTATAATGATAACAAAATATTGGTAATAAGGTTCATGCAGGTGATAAGAGTAACATAGATAGTATATGTATATATGTGTATATGTAGACAATTCAATAAATAAATAAATTAGGTCAAGTCTTATAGGTGAAATGGAACGATAATCAGAGTTTAAATAAATATCATAAAAGTACGAAGGAGATGGAAGATAAGAAAAGGTGGGAGGGTTTTGAATAGAATTCACCTAGGCCAGGTGAGAGACAAAGGTAGAACAGACTTCTTTTGTTGTATGCAAAGACTAGGATTGTTCTCTCGAATTCCCATAGCTTCGGCTAAGCCTAAAAGACGGGTTCTGATTCCGTTCGAAAGACTCGATGGAATGCGATAGATAACTTTGAAGGCACTATTTTTGTCCACTTGGTAACCGCTATCAATCAAATGAGCCAAAATAGAACTTCGTATGGATTTTATTTGACCTTTTCCGAACCGTGAAGGAAGATGCTCATTAATACGTTTGTTAAGCTGTCTAGCTGTTTGCCCTATATAGCTTTCTCCACAGGAGCAACTAAATTTATAGACACACATAGAAGTGGCACAACTAGGTAGCTCGTCTTTCACTTGGGCAATCATAATTGGTCGTCTGGAAAATGACTAACAAAGGGTGGCGGCAGTATAAGTCCGTTTTATCGTTCTCGATGATCTCAGATGTAAGACTTCGCTAGCCACGTCCCTATTAAATTGCAGTTTCATGAACAGTTGTTTCTTTTTAACTGCTGTCAGTTTTTCTTTATTGTACCTGGTGTTCATGTGTCTCCTTACAAATCTACTAGGATAACCCATTTGGATCAACATATTTTGGATGCATCCTAGCTCATTTTCTAGGGAGTTATCTGTACAGATAGGTCTTGCTGTATTCGTGAGGCATCTGACCAAAATGATTTTGTATTGGATTGATAAAAAACTGAGGAAATGTGTATATTGTCCTACAGATGTAGGTTTTCTATAGACAGCACTCTTGAGTGAACCATCCTCTCTTCTGCTCAATCGGACGTCAAGGAAATGTAGTCTACCATCTTGTTCTTCTTCACAAGTGAAGATGAGCGATGGATGTGCATCATTAAACTTTTTTAACATTTCATTCTTGTCAGCTTTCACGTCAAGAATAATAAACGTGTCATCAACATAGCGAAAATAAGAGTCGGTTTTATGTACTACTTGTTTCAATGGACCATTTTCAACCTCAGCAAGAAAGAAATCCTCCAAAATTGCCCCAATGGAGAACCCATGGCAATGCCATCGACTTTTCTGTAATAAAGGTTGTTGAATGTGAAGTGTACATTCATAGTACATCTTAAAAGCAACTCTTTCAGACTAATAACTGAGATTCCGATGTCGATCTGTTTTTCTAGTATCTGTTGGCATATGAATTCCACAGTCTGCATAAGTGATACATTGGTAAACAGTGATGTTACATCTATGGAAAGCATTTGCTTCCCATTTACATTGATATCATTCACGTTAGCAATAAATTCGAAAACGTCTTTAACACTATGATTTACTACCAATTTGTGTAGCGGTTGGAGGATATGTTTAATGATATTATTATGTATAATTTCACCTACCATCGAGTGGTAAAGTGGCTAGGTGAACTCCTCCAACCGCTAAATAAATGGTAGTAAATCATAGTGTTAAAGAAGTTTTATTTTGTTTATTTCCTTCTTGCCGACTACTCATAACTCAGACATAATTAGACAAAGATTTTAGGCAAGACAAGATGTGCGCCTTTTAAACAAATACCTTCGGTATTTTAATTCTGATTACTTCATTGAGGAAGGTCGAATGAGTTAGCCGATTGAAACGTCGGAATGATTTATTTCGACTTCGTCTCATTTTTATTTGGTGCCCAATCATTGTGGAACTATTTAATCAAATATTGATCACAGTTGATATGCGATAACAATAATAATTAAGAAAAATAATAATAGTGGTATGATTTAAACATAAAAATACTACCTGTGAATCAATATCAGGTAATTAAGAATTAAATGAAGTAGAAATGAAGAGGACTGTGTAAATACAATAAAAATTTGAGAAGCAACTGGTGAGCCTAGGGTAATCGAGATAATAAGAAAGATCATGCGGTTTTAAAAGGTCTAAAATAAACATTCATCCGTGAAACAAAGGGAAGAAAGATAAATATAAACTTTTAATTACCAGTGTTTATGGAGGATCTGTTTACCTTTATATTAGACTAAAGTAAACATATGGGCTGCATATAGAGACCATGTCCCTTGTATTGATGACTGCCGCTTCAGCTAGCAACAGAAGATGGAGTCGAGTTCGTCTAAATAGATTGTTGGGGACATGAGAGATCATTCAGAACACCTGCTCCAATTTCATTTAATGTATATAATCCACCAGCTGTGCTAAGACCTCATTATTGACGCATTTGATAGCTCCTTCACTCAAACAAACAGCTATATATTTACATTGGCTCATGGATAAAGCCCCATGAATGCAGCTTATATAACTAATTCCAGAGGAGTGGTCGGACTCATCAATCTAAATTGATCGGTTAGTCATCGATAATTTAGTCTTGACTTGCTGTGTGAGCACAACAGTGAATTATTTAATTTCATTATATCTCATACAATTATTGTCTGAACCTTCTATGTGAATTTAGATGGTGATCACAACTCATTATCATTCCACTTTGTATATCCTTTCTGAAATATAATTCTATTATAATTATATACTAATTAACTAACTAACATGAATGGAGTTATAATTGTATTGCCTTAAGGAAAAGAACAAAAATTTATTGAAACTATAAATGCCCGCTTTATTTATTTTGTTCTGAATTTTTAAATTAGTGAAACTTTTTTGAAGAGACTAAAATGAAAATATAATTCGTCTAAAAGTTGTTTATAAAATACACATACTTTTTGAAAGATAATTGCAGCTTCTTCTTGTGTATAAGTTTTTCTATCTTCACCTTTAGATTTTTCAACTTCTTCTTGTTGGCGAATTTCTCGCATAAATTTAGCTCTTATCCTTCCTTGACGTGCACGTTCATGTCGTTGAATAAGGCGTATAGCTTGATCAAGTGTCATTTGAACTTCTTCACTCTTAAGTAAATAAATAAATGTAATACATCTGCGAATACATCTGTCACATTTAGATAATCTCAGGTAATATCATGAACAGTCTTCAAATGACAGGTCTGGGGCTCCAACCGGGGAAACATCATCTTTTTGCCTGACTTAGATCAGCCATCAGTGACTGACGCTATACATCTGTCTTACAACATCTAACGCCTTTCTCAACCAATTCCACTCCACCTAACACCTCATTTCTGAGAATACACTGACCTGGAATGAAGAAAACATAGCTTAATTACTTCAGTCAAGAAAGCATCTTAACCCCGTAGGCGAAAAACCCCCTCCTTGTCCGACAGTCATCACTAAACCCTACTACTGCTTAACATGTGTGTCGTATCCACGTGAATGAAGTCAGTTCAAGTCATAAATTGCTAGTCTTTTCATATCTTCTATTTTCAGCGGCCGTGTCTGTCAGTGGCAAAGTAAGAAAGAGAGAAATGACGGATAGTCGGATACCACCAACACTTGCTGCAAAGATGATACAAGCTGGGAAACACTAGACGAGCCCTTTGCATTGATGTCGGAATTTTCTTAACAGCCAGTTATTTTAGGGTGATTCGACTTCTAAAATAAATGGAATGATTAGCATATTTGACTATTTGATGTTTTTTCCTCAAAATATGATTTTATACTAATCAATATTAGACATCATCTTACACTTGACAGGTAGTAAACCTTATGCTGAACACGTTAGAATTTATGCTTAAAGTGTTAACGAGAGTCTTTATTTCTTGTCATCATATTTTCTCTGAAAGTACTAAATAATATACCTACTCTAAATCAACGCAACATAAATGTTTTGGTATGTCAGGTATGTTTGTTCAACTGCTAGTAACTGGGCAAGTAAGAGAAAACTATTTTGCTCTATCGTAATATTCCTTTAAGAAACGTAAGATTTATTAAAAACTACCATTAACAACTATCAAGATAAACTTTCTTATGATTTAAAATCAATCAAAAACTTCACAGAATAGATAAATACAACTTTTCTCCTACTGTGTTAATCACTTTACAGGAAGTCAAAAAACCTTTATTTAGTGAGTCATGCCACAATCTTCCAGATCATTAGTATGTAATTATTTGCATAATCGGCTTGAGTGAACCCAGTAGTCGAACTTCAAAAAAAATAGATTTTGTAACCGATCGTTACTATCAGTTACTTAAGAGATATACAAATTCACACACGCACACCGTTTGACATATTAGGGTGTGTGGAAAAAATTTACATAAACAAATGTAGGTATACTGTCAAATGGCAAATCCGAAATTACCTACTGACCGATAGAAAGTACCTATTAAGTGAAAAAACTTTCGATAAACAATTTAGTTCCCTAAAAACCTGCACCACATTGCAACATTTCCACCTAGTGAACCATTTCGATAATCATTACAGTGAAATCATATTTTACAAAAGTGAATATGGTTAAAAACTCATCATACTTTCCTCCTCGGTAAACAAATTTAACCAAGAACAACAGTTTTTGCTAAATAAAGTGGTGTCATCATTTATTCCGTTGGCTGCTAACGGTAAGCAGCTGATGAAAAGGCAACGAAATAAATAATGTTACCATTTTGTTGTGTAAAATCTGTTGTTTCTGCTTTATTTAAATTGATTAAGGGAAAAAAATGTATGAAATTTAACCAAGTTAAGTGTGCAGTTTTGACTACATATTATAAGCTTAGTAGGAGAAAACATCAGATTCTACTGGGTAATGATAATTAAGTTTTAATCATTTCAGTTTTGCTGAGATTTTACAAATGTAATAATTAAGTATAGTTCAGTTATCGTCATTTATTACTCAACCTTTCAATGTTAAATTTGCTCAGCTTCTTTGATGGCTCTCACTTCTGCCACACTGACTTCATTTAGTAGTACTCAATATAATTGTGAAACCTTTTTACCCGCCAAAACGTTAGCCCATATTTGCATAAGTGAACTGATGGATTCAGAGTTTTTGTAGCAGAAGGTTAAAGAAGCATAGAACACCTGCACGCCCACTACTTATCTTACAAATAATTGGCTACATTCCATTTATTTCCAGTTGACTGTTATAATATTACCAATTAACGAAATAGAAGGGTTACAAAGAAGCTGAAAACTTCGGAAGCGATACAACATGAGTAATGCATTATGCATGAGTCACGAATAAAAATCATACAGATGGTAGCGCTTGATCATTTGAGAAAGCTTACTGCACTGCCACCTTCTGGATAAAAGCAGACTGCTTGAGTTTAGTGTGTTGACTAGTTTTCTTGAAGTCTTAAAAAGCTGATTTAAGATGGAATATCAGCCTTCGCTGCCCCACCTGTGTAAGCATGAAGTGAAGCTGACACAAATCTTGGGCCTTCATAATATGTTTATATACACTGAAACGTCGACACACTTAGTCCCGTACTAGCACCAACGCAAAAACTATGATGGGTCACAAAGTTTGCACAAAATATTCTCAAAACTTCTACTTCTCATAAGATTTTTATGCAAAATGATAACTTTCCGTTTCATATTTTGCTGCTCGGAGGCATCAATTCAATTAATCAGTTGGAGCATTTGAAGTGGTAGGATATTTCAAATGTTTTGATACCCATTCTGTGAATCCATCATTCCAGCTCTATAAAAACTGGAATTTTGACGTGAAATAGTTGTCCTTTAGCTATAGAGATAAACAAAATCTACCCATTAATGATAAAGGTTGATCAAACAGCCTGCATCTTAGTTTTATTCTTTGACAGATACACATAAAATCAGATAGTGACTGTCTTGAAACTTTCCAAATCAGAGTTCCTGTCGACTTCGAAAACTCTAGTTTGTGCTAGTTGTTTTAAAATTCCAAAAAAGTTATTTCAAGCAACTACTTGGTACCCAAACAAAAAGTTTAGGAGCAGCTTTGAGTTTTCGAAGGGCATTTGAGAATTCCCCTTGGTTTTAAACTAAACATGAGGGGTTTAGAGCGAAAACGTTATATTTCAGCAGAATTTCCCTTAAACTGCCTGGAAAATTCCCCCGAAATACCTTAGATTTCTATTTGAGACATAACTGCAGCTCTCAAAGTTTAAAGTGGAAAGGATTTTATTACCTTTTCCTCATCGGCCTTTAAACTTGATAAGATGTGTTCCAGAAAATGTTCTCTATCCCTGAGTGCTCTGAAGTTTTCGTTAACAAAATATTTCGGTATCGGTATTTCCACATCGTCTGGAGTTAATTTTAGGTCTATTAGTATGTCATCGAAATAATGATATTCAGATAGTTCTAGCTTCACCATCTCCTTTTTTATTTCAAGAAACCTTCCAATAACTGAATCCAGAAGCGATCTCAAAAGACGTCTCTTTTGAGGATGAACAATTTGGTCATAACATCTCTCAAGATTTCGGAATATTTGAATATATTTGATATAGAATGTTGCCAATGTCTGGAAGGCTGCAGCACGATCCTGAAAATTTATATAACTTATCTCATATAGATTCACTAACCTTTTCAGGTTTTTGAGTTTCCGGATCTGGCTCCAGAGCCAGAATATCCGAAAGCTTTTCTTGAGTATCCTTCCATATTTTATTATACAAGCTACGTTACTTAGAAAAATAAAACATTTACTTGCTGGACATGTAGGAAAAAAATTCAAATACACGCTGTCGCGTAGCTATAGCGATCTACGGTTTTACCCTAATCCAATAACCAATACCATTTAGATGCGCTTCTATAAACCTTATAATCACTTGTTGATTACCACTTGTTTCTCACGGCGACATTAGCTCCTTGCAGGGTTTAAATTTGCTTGTTGGTAGTCCGATAATGGTTACTGGTCTCCAGTGAGCTTCTGAGCACTTTGTTCCGCCACTCGCCTGCTGCAGCCTTGGTGGACCCCTAAGTTACAGTATGGGAAATTTGTCATGATAATAGCAAAGCCGTAGCCAGAGTTAGTAATTTCGCCCATTAGTCGTTCATTGTAACTGAAAGCGAGTTAGCAATAATAGGATAACCAACAGTAAGTAAATAATTTTAAAAAGAATAGCGAATAAACGAATAGATAGGTAGCTGAGAAAATGACCCAGAAGTAAGTAAATGAACGGTCAGTGTGAGCAGACGAAGACGATTATGGCTATGAAGAAGTCAAGGATGAGTTTCGTTGTGACCTGGTGACTAGGTGTCGTATCCGAGTGTTGCGTCCCAGTTTGAGCGGTAAGGTAGTCTGTTGGGTAGGTTCGTTGTCTTGTTTCGTGATTATCCGACCTCATCTTAAAGCCTTCCTCTGATGGCTGAGTAGCCATTGCTTCTTATAAAGAGTTCCAGGAGCAACACAGTCGTAGGAAAACGAAATGAAAGCTCACTGGAGCCTTCCCTTTGATGCGCTGTCGTTTATTGGTTTCTAAAAGGGAGTCTGTATAACCTAATAATATGGAACCTTTGGGAAATTGCTGTTGTCTATGGCCTTAAGGGAGGTGACTAGACAACTGTGAGAACTATCCGCAAAAACTTGCTCTTCCTATCTCACAAAGGAGGGTGTCATATCGAGTTGTCATGAATGGTTATGACTGAAATATCCTTATCTCAGGATTATGCTTAGCCGTTTCTCAAAGGGGTTTTATTAGGTAACATCCATCTTTACCGAATTCGCGTCAAATTTCATGAAATATCTCATTTTGATCGAGGTGTTTTGTCGTGCAACCACTGACGAAGCCTCTAGATAACTTCACTCCCGGGTATCCTGGTAAGTCCTTGTAACAAGCGACGTTATGTCAGCCCTCAATCCTGACGACAGGAAGGAAACTGACTCATTTTGATAACATAAGAAGTTTGTATGGCTTCCCTGAACACCCACTTAAATAGCACAAGGAGTCCCAGTATAGATATATGGCATCAAGATAAATGGTTGGATATCATCGCAATCTCTGCAATCAACCTATTGTATATGTGGACTGACGAAGTTATTTCATTGATAGAAGAATAGTACTTCAGCAACGCATTGCAGTATAATTCCATCATAGAGTAAATTTATTTGACAAAATCATACAGTTACATACCGTAGTGCTACTGATGACGTTACTGACAACATCCGCATTATTTCCCATCTAACCGCATTCATATTTCCTAATGTACTTCATCTTCCTGTCATGTCCATAATGCTAAAAATACTTCTCCGGAGAATATAGTAGGAGGAACTATACAGTCCTTAGAGTGACACTGTGCACTTGCAATGTACAATCCTGAAAATATTGGTCTTACTACCGGAACCATTACGTTTTTGATGAAAACATGAATTTCTTCCGAAAAAAATCTATTTTTTCTTCAGCACAGCTAGACTTTAACAGACCAAGGAATAAGAATGGAACGAGTCAGTTTTGACTTTATTAAAAGCTTGGCAGTTTAGACATATCGGAATATGGTGGTGCTCGGATAAAAATTATCACGGCCCAAGTAAACATTATTGTGGACAAAGCTGGGGCACTTCTGGAAAAAGGATCACAAGAGGGTAACAGCATTTTTTAGGGTGAATAATTAGAAGAAACGGTACATATAGGGAAACCTTCAATATCTGTTTTCAACTATGCAGGTTACTGATAAGTTGTCAGTAATTTGTATTTCTTGTCAATTTCGTTTAGTCTTCCGTATTAAAACCGAATCCTCCTGATACACTGTTAGCTCGAAATATATACATTATTATTATATCTAGAACCAAACAAGAACTATACAGATTGTATTAGTAATCTTGCATTATTAGGACAGTTAGAAATCAGACCACAAGCGCACAAATGCATATTGTATTAGACATACAATGTAATGGACTTTTAAAATCCTCAAGCAAACTCAGACATACACACCAGTAAGCAGACATATAGTTGTCAAGTGCTAGGGCACAACATATATAATTCGAATACCCACACACCATAATGAACATAGATTTGTAATCGTCACTTCAGCCAACTCTCATAAACTGTCAACGTCCAGCTATTACTACGCTGGACCTCACACTGTCCCTGGAAGACTTTCAGAAATAATTTGTAATAACCAACGCAAAGAAAAACCAGAACACAGATTGGTGCCTCGAGAATTCTTTATTCTTACGCCAACATGTAACCAGCAATAAGGTTATTACACAAGGTCTAAGAATAAATGTTATAACAATAAATCATGATAATAATACTGATAGTTTTCGATCTTCCGCTGGAAAGCGAACAATAAGACGATGACTGATGGATGGATGATTCCTCCGAAAAATATGGAGAAGTTGGGTTCGAGCAAACAACCATGAATTGATCGTTCAATCTTAAACTACATTGACACTTCCCGGCAAAAAAGGGATCCATCCCTCTTTTCAATCACCACTAATACACGTTGACTTGGATGCCAGCGCGAGAACCTGGGTCACACGGACAGAGCTGAAATGGAAAACAAACAGCATAGCAAACACACCACAGGCATACCAACAGCACAATCTCGCTCATCGATGACGACCTGTGCCCTCCAGTCAAAGGAATCCTCTTGACATCTTGCAACACAATCGCCACTCACTAGAATGACTCTTGCAGAACGCAGCGCGGCAATAACAGTACTTCATGATACTCTTCGCACATCCTCCTATCTATTCACTATCAATTACCATTGCGATCGCTTGTCACTCGTTCCGCCTCGGTTCTAGTAACGGTGACATATGCAAGCCTCAGTCGTCTACACTCTCACTCCCCGGAGTGTGGAACCGCAGCTAATTATTATCTCCGTGTGCATGTTATTCTCAGCAATAGCCTCCCCGGCGTATACGACCCATCTGCTATCTTTAGCATCAATCAATTCATTCACGGATGTGGAAGACTCGAAACAACCTCAAAAATAAGCCCGACGAACAATTTACCAAAACTGTGCAATAACAACAAGATATGAAAACAAGTAAACACAGTGAATACAAAAAACATCAATCGATATGACACACCAAACATATATACAAACAGTACACGTAACCTCGCAGATCATGTCTTGATGTAATTTCTTGGAAGAATCGCAGAACTTACACCATTACGCCTGCAACCCTTCTCAGGTCGACGATTGTAAGTTGAAGAATGTCCGGACACAAACAAGATCAACCAACAAACAGATGATAAATGATACCACGTCAATATACACAACATGAAAATATTTACAAAATACACACCAAGTACGATGGACTGAGCTTCGACATACTACCCTTGAAGAATTGTAGGACTTACAGCAGTCGCTAACAACCCTTCTCAGGTTCACGCCCTAGGTTGGAAAATTGTCGTAGAGTTCATTTGCTAACCTCCTTCTATCATCCATATCCTCAACTCTAAACGGTAACACGCCCAAATCATTGTATCGTGGAATGTAGATGACTAACAATCATACAACATATCTGACCAACCCAGCGTAAGCACAGAATAATTTACGCCATAGATTATAATATTCAAATAGTAACTTGAAACTTGAAATTCCTTTATTCGTGCAAGTCAGTTTAACAATCACACCCTCATACACAGTTGGCTTATCCACACTAAAGTGACCATTGACATTCGTCCTTTCAAACGGACGGATACTAGCATAGTCACAGCACAAGACATATGATTTCATGGACGTCACCTTCAATGTGGATGACAACACCAACGACGACTGATTGATACCAGTCGATGAACTTTGTGATGCTTCAGAAGCTGTCACTGTTCGGCCTTGAGAAGTTTGTCTAACCGCAAGATCACTACCGCTGCTATCTTTAACTATTAGTTTCAGTTTAACTTTAACATCTGTCGATAGGGGGAATACACGCTGATCATTTACACTGACGGTCTCACTAGTATTCATACCTTCTGCAACCGCACCTGCCCTTAAGTCTACTTCACGTTCAAGCTGTATAGAACCTTTGTTCAAATCAGCAGTAGTAGGCATTCTCCTCATCTCATCGTGACCATCATCACAAATATTCGGTTTGCCGTAATCTCTCTGGTCGACTTCACAGTTTTCTAACTCTTAAATGACAGCAGTAGACAATTTAGGTTCTTCCTCGCAAATCCTTAAAGGTTTTATACCTTTACTCTGAGTAGTAATACCTCGTAAACTTGTGGAGTCAGAACTAGACTCTGAAACTGTAACTCTCTTCTCCTGCGCAAACTTCGGTGTCATCTGTGACACTCTATTCAACGATGGCTCACCAGTTGCAAATACAGGCTTCTTCACTGCACCATTATCGTCACACAATTAGTAGTCAGAACTTGATGACGCTAATCTCACATTTAGCTTACCACTAAACTTACTGCTTCACAGTTCGCCTTTGTATGCACTTCTTGCAAACGTGTAAAACACAACCGTGTTTGTCTTACAGCTTGTAACCTATCTGTTGGGGATGTCCCACGAAAGCTGTCACACTCACTAAGCTTATACGGATTACTAGACACCATAAAACTTTCCCGATATCTACTTCTCTGAGACCCTTTCGTCATAAATGATTGCGTTTTGCCCTCAGACTGCTGTATTCTCGGGGTGGGATCCAATATACTGGCAAACTTGCTCACAGATTGATTCACACTTTCTTTTACCAGTTTCAGGATGTCATCGAACTTTGGCTCAATTCCTTCATCCTGTATATGAGAGCT